GGGCGACTGGAATGCCATCATGGACAGGGTCAAGGGCAACATTGTGTGGTGGAACAATCAGGTCAAGGAATTGGGAGTGGATCAGGCCGCCCTAATCGGCGAGCCCGACCCACTCACTTATGGATTGAGTCTCATCTTTACCACCTTTGTGGAGCGTTTGAAGGAATGGTTCTTCAAAGAGATTGCCAGTGACAACGATCGGATCAGGTGGATTCAGAATGATAAGCTTCCACCGAGGCTTGAGCTCAGGGACTACTTTCACGCATTCGAGACCGAGCTCAACCGAAGTGAGATGATCGGATATGTCATGGCAACTCTCCACATGTTGCACATGACAGACATTTTGGTGCCCCAGTACAACATGTCTTTGTACAAGCGCAGGCGTCCTGCAGGGGAAGCTACTATGCGTGACGTCTCACCAAAGATGGAGCATCTCCCAGTCAGGTTTGGGCAGGTCCTCACTGCTCTGCGGGAGAAGACGAACAAGTCTGCACCAAGCGTCTCGACCCCAGAAAGCTTGACGGCAGAGGAGTTGAGAGATCGCCCAACTGATGCTGGTGTCGCCGATGATGATGATGATGAAGGCGACCCATGGGATGCTCTGGATGCCAACGAGTATGAGGGCCCATCGGTGGGAAAGGCAAAGGCCAGTCATGCAGCTCCTCCTGACCCCAAGGCGAAAGCTCCACCTGCACAGGAAGACTCAACTCAGGCCACCCCAGCCGGTGAGCCCACGCAGGAGAATGAGCTCAAAGGCACGATCATCCCGAAACATACACTTGGACACATTGACAAGTATCGGATCATGCTGGACGAGAACATTAATGCGGATGTAGTTGAGCATTGTGTTGTGGACTCCCATCCATACGAACTGATCACAAAAACATGTTGGGAGATGGATGGAGCCGAGGAGCTGAGGTACCCAGATCGCATGGACCGACACAAAACCAAGGTCAATGCAGTGACACGTGGACAGCCAGGTCAGGACACCTCTGGATTTGATGAAAACATGTGGCTTGACCTTGATGACTTCTTTCGAATGTTCAATCAAATGCTGCCAGCCAAGTTACCCCGAATGACGGTTGAAGAGCTCATCTCCCTTCTCTACTGGGACAGCAAGTGCCGTTTTGAGTTCCAGTGCATTGCAGGATACCAGAAGGCAACCCGTAAAGGGTTAGCCTACTGGCCCATCAGGATCCGTGCAGTGCAGGGGGACACAAAGCGTGCCATGGATGCTGCCTCAGCCGACGACACGTTCAATGCGGTGGAAATCTATGCGCTGTCCGGCGCGGCAGCCATCCAGAAGATGAACGCCAAAGGCAAAAAGATTACAACACCGCAGATGTGCCCAGGCGTAGTCTATCAAAGGACTACGAAAGGCAATTGGAAGGGGATCATTGAGAATGGTTTCGTGGCTGGAGGAGGAGAACGAAATTCATCAGGCAGGGCACACTCCTATTTTAGTGAAGTGCGTGTCGACGAGAAAGAGTATGTCAGCGGCCTACGTGCTGAGCGACCCATTGAAATCAGGGTTGCAATGGCTGAGGCAGTCAAAGCTGGAATTGTGTTTTTCAGGACAGCCTCTGACGGCATTCTCACAAGTGCTGTCGTGCCGCCTCAATACATTATTTCTGTCGATGACACTGCCAAAAAGGTGAATTTGTATCGCCGCCATCAGGAGGTCGCGCAGTCTGCAACGAGCAGTGGGGGAGAAGTTGGAGTCCAACAGCTTGTCGAGACCTTTGAGGCCAAGGCATCAAAACGAGCTGGTTCCAAGTCTCCGGCCGCCTCAACTGGCGCGCCCACTGCAACAGCATTTTTCCCAGGAAAGGTGAAGGCTCCGCCACCAAATGTGGCTCAACTTGCCGGTATGCCTGGATATGCAAGCAGCAGATTGTTGCCTCCTCCTCCAAAAGGCGAAGCTCCAAAGCCTCCTGCAGCAAAGGTTGAAAGCCCAAAGACACCGCCGAAAGCACCTCCAAAACCATCACCGAAGGAAGGGACTTCTGCACCTCGTGCACCAGAAGTTCCAAAAGCTGCGACTTCAGAAGTTGATGCATCAGCAGAATGAGAACCTGCAAAGAAGAAGGCAGCCCTGACCAGCGTGCCCGCAGCTGTGCCTGCGGCATCATCAGCTGCGGCCTTCATGGAGCCTGTGTCAAAGATTGCACCGCCGAAGGCAGCACAGAAAGATCCAAAAGCTCCGGTTGCAGGGTCACCCTCAAAGACGCCGGCATCAACGTCCAAGTCACTGGTGCCAAAGCAGAAGTCTCGCCCTAAAGGCGATGACCAACCTTCGACGAAAGAAGAAAAGAAGGAGGACAAGAAGCCGGTGCCAATCAAGATTGAAGTCACGCAATGTTCAAGATGTTTTGCTCAGACCTTCAAAGGACAGATCGAATGCGATGTGTGTGGCTTGATGCTCGAAGGGGTGAACAAGGCTGACCGCACCAAGATTGCAGAGCGAAGGAAGGCCGCCCTTCACAAGCTGGGCTTGTTCTACGACTTCCGTGGCGAGTACCTGCAGAGCATCACACACAGTCAGCTGGAATCTTTGGGTTTGTTGGACGACCAGGCAAGAGGAAGCTCTAGCCCTGAAGCTAGTTTATTAGCAAGGGCGAAGAGTCGTTTCGACCGTGCATTGAGTTTGGGCTTTGTGTCCGTGGCAGACAGATTTGCACAGGACGCCACATTCGCAGAGAGCGTGCTGAACGAGGGGGAGAACGAGTACGATTGTGAAAGGTACGACCTCCTCAAGTCTGCACATCTGCCAAAGCCAGGTCGTACCAAGGCTCAGGTCAAGATGGGTGTTTCCGAGCAATCTCAGTTGGAGCACAATGCAATGAGGTTGGTTTACTTGGATCTTGCCAGCCGTCTTGACGTCCCGAAGTCCTTCAGGTACATCGATCAGCCGTGGTTCTACATGTACCGGACTGAAATCTACTCTGAGGAAGAATACATCGATTATCTGAACCGAAATCCTCAGCACAATCTTTTGTTTTCTTGTACTGGCGTTGACAACATTGCTGTTCATGATGCTGAACGGCATTTGAGGTGGATTAAGGGCCAAAACGAGGAGCTGTACAAGCAGAATGCTGCGGAGAAGAAGAAACAGTCTGACAGGGCTCGCGAACAGAACGAGGCCAAGCGCAAAGCTGAGCAGACTGGGGCGTACGGCCAGGGGCCCTCCAAGAAAGGCACCGTTAATCCGGTTGCCCGAACATCCACCGTAGAGGTAGCTTCATCATCCACGTCAGCAAGTCAGTGGCTCAATCGCCCTCAGCAAAGTCATTCCCGTGAAGATCGACAGTTCACCAACGAGTGGCAGAAGTGGCATGGGCGCTGGTACCAAAAGGTTATCAGGCATGGCCGAGTCGAATGGGAAGAGGGATAAATTTTGACACTGCTTGCATTGACGATCGATTGTACAAAGCCGCACATACTTTTGATTGTTTTCCCTTGGGTTTGCAAAGAGTTGGATCGGTAAGGCAGGCTTTAAAAGCCTCGCCCTGGTAAGTGGGCAGCCTTGCCGTGTCCGGCTCACCTGAGGGGGGTGTATTTGCACCCCATGTAAAACATACCTGTATCATAGATATATCTACCAGCTGTGCGGCTCAGGAGAAAACAGTGCTTGAGTCGCTGCGCTTAGCGGTTTTATCCCCTGTTTTAGGTTTATCAGTCCATTTGGGTATAACTAGGTTAACCCTTGCTGAAACCTGAAAATACAGAAATTCAATGAGCCTACAATGTGGGGCCCCCTAGATAGCTAAGTTGGTTTATAACTCCAATAACTATGGTTTATTGTACTTATAACTATAGTCAATGGGGTTTATAAACCAACTTATAACTGGGGGTACAGTTTTTGCTATCCCGATGTTCGGTGCCATAAACCCAGCATGTCGCTGGGATCCCATTCCAGGCCCCAAATTTTGCGATCCAAAAATTGCTTCATGATTGGTGAGAACATCCAAACACAGCTAGTGAAACTCAAATTTGGATGCCAAATTCCTACATTTTTCTGGTCTGGTCATCTCCCCAGTGAAATCCAAATCGCGGGCAAAAAAAAGTGCGAGTGACTGCAGGACGTCGACCCTGCGTCTCGGCAACTCTTCACCTACCTGGAGGCAGCGGTACGTATGGATGGTCCATGAAGTTTGACCCGAACTTCAAATGGACATGTCAAAATTAAATAACTGGTTGGTGGTTTGATAATAACAATGGTAATGATTAATAATAATAATATGGTAGGGGTAGCCCCAGTCATCATCTGTTTCCAGCCAAGTTTCCTGGCGCTCCAGGTGCGCTTAGTCCTGCAGCGGCTTCGGGAGTTCGGCCGCGTGGAATCGCGCAATGTCGAGGCCGGCGACATGCCCTAAATTTTCCATTGGTTTATCGACCTTTTCACCATTTTTTCATGGTTTTTTTGGTGGGATATAGCCTGAAAAAATGGCCCATTTTGAGAGCTATGGCAGCTATGAATTGGAAGTTTTGATCCGTTTTGATGCCTGGGATTGCCAGGAGAAACACATCAAGGACATGGGCTTCACCACAGAGCAAATTCAGGACATGGGATGGTCGCAGATTGGAAGGATTGAAGACCTGGTCTGGTTGTCATCTTTGATGTTTTTTTCAATGGATTGGTTTAAGGGAAGATCTACAGGAAACCATAGATTTTCCCATTAAATATGGGGTTTTCCTGTAAATTTTCCCTTGAACCAATCCATTGATTTTTAGCCCAAGTCTGAATCGTTTTTTTGGGGGGCCTGCTGGATGTAAGAATTCATGAACTTTCAGGATACCCGCAGCCGTCATGGCCCAAAAAAGCTGCTTTGGATGAAATGGATCCTCCAACTTTCAATGCAACACATCTGCTAAACATCACTCCATGTTGCTGAATTCCGGCTAAATTCAGATCAATAAGATCATCTGAGATGAACAGAAAATCATTAAAATCCCAAAAACAAATCCTGAACTTTTGATGGTTCGGTGATTTAACCAGTTTCGGTCGCCTCCCTTTCGCACCATGGCGCTCCTCCTTACCGCGACCGCGGCAAGCGCGGCAAGCGCGGCAACCCCATCCCTTCGCAGTGGTGTTTCTTTGGCGCCGCCGCGGCGCCTGAAGAATCCCTTCATGGCACGTGGGGATGCCCAAATGGAAACCCCACAGTTTTTTCAGAAAGTTGGCTGGGCAAAAAACACATTTATGATGCTTTTCAGAATACTTAAGATGCTTCTGATACCAATGGTCAGAAGAAATCATGGTGATGATTTGGGGTCGATTTTTGGATAAACCTGTTTGAAATATGCAACTTTTGGGTAACAGGGATTTGAGAATTTCACCAGCAAACCATTGGATTTGACCAGTAGACATTAAAAACAGGAAATCATTCCTTCAACACTCGAGGATATCGTTACCTTCTCGTAGTCTAACCTGGAAAAGGAGGCTCCAATAGCCATGACTCAGCATGAATCAACACAAAGTTAGAAGATCTTCAGATCATAGAGTATTTTTCTATGTATTTCCAACTCCTGCACTCCTCCGTTGCTCCCAGCGAAGATCCCACCTCCATAGCTGGTCAAGGATTTTCCAGCCACGTTTGACGGGTCCGGGTATCCAAATTCTTCAAGCGGCCTCGGTTGAATCCCCACGATGAGTTGGTTGACATTAATTTGGTAACATTGACATACCACAGGTTCAGGCATCAACTTCTAGCACATGTTCATTTCAGTTTCTAGAAGTTATAGATTTTAAAGAAGCTACAGACCTTGCAGCCTGTTTCTGGCCTCATCACCGTCCCTCACCATCCGCTGCACCTTTCAGTGAGTGACGACTTGGATTCAGCGTCGGAGGAGACGAAAGCGCCACATCAGTTGAAGGGCATGCTGTGGCTTGGCAGATGTCACTTGATTTTTGGTGAACATCCAGCAGTGAACATCCAGCAGTGAACATCCAGCAGTTCATTGAATCGCTGGGATGACCGCCTTTTTGGTGATCGACTCCAGTTTTTGGGTCAAGTTCTCCATTTTTCAAAAATGGAGCTTTCCAACAAGTCATGATGGGCTACCCCTATATAAATCAAAATCATCGATGACTTAGATTGGGATTTTCCATGATTTTTTCACCATCCAGCTGGGGGTACCCCCATATCCGAGGTATGTTGCGTTGCTGCCCTGGCTCGGGCTGGGGATCTGCTTGCTGGGCGACCCAGGACGGTCAAGGTCAATCTTTTTTTGGGGGACTGAGAAGGGAGAAATCGTATGCTAATTACTATGAATTGAATATGCATGATATTGTATTGCTGTATTGTTTATCATCATAACATCAATCACATTTAATCACTCTGATTCAGAATCCAAAGGAGTGAAAGATGATGTGACCCAGAAAAACGGGGATGTTGAAGCCCTTAAGCTGCAGAGCTGGGCTTTTTCAGCAGGAAAAATGAACATTTACAGCAGCCAAAAGTTGTTTACGTTTCTACATAAAATGACGAGCGTGACAAGCAAAACATTGGGTTTAAGACGTGAGTTGGGTATGGATCAATACCTATAGATACCATTTTTAGCGGGATGAACATCCATTTACCAGCTATTTTGGGGTTCACTAGGTACCAGGGTTTTGACCCATCCCCAGTTCACCACTGAACGTGGGGATGAAATTGCTACATTGGGGACTTCAACTGGGGCAGGCAAAAAACCGGTGCAGAGATGATTTGCTGACCAAATGAGGGATGGCAACCATGAAAGCTGTGACGAAGATCTGACCCCAACATATCAGACTGGTGGTGGTTTCAAAAAGCAATGTGTGTACATATATTATATGTATTACATATACACAACTATATATATATATACATACTATATATCATTACTGTATAACATACACTATATTAATTTCATAGGGATGATGTTTTTTCTTTCTGTCCCCAAGATCACACTGCTGGCCTGAAGCCACTTGCCACGATGCTGGGATGATGATCTGATTGATTGGTGAATTTCTTGGGGCTTATACTACCTAATGACCTAATGTGGTTAAAACAATGTCATAAACCATCCCCCAGTCATCATCATTTTTATGGCTGGTATAAACTGTAAACCATCAAACATGGGCTGGTTTATGACATTGTTTTACCCACATTAATCATCATTAATCATCATTAGTCATCCATTATTAACCAATATTAAGCAATATCAACCAATATGAACTAATATTAACCAATATTAGCCATTATTAACCAAGATTAACCAATATAAACCATCATGAACCATTATCATTTATGAAGGATTCTGCTAAGCCATAGGATTGGGAGGCCCTTTTCAACCCCAACTGACTCGTCGCAAGGTTGGGCTTCCCGGTGCTCTGGTGGAACGAGCGGAGGGCCACGGGCCGTCGGAAAGCCCCAGCTGCCCCAGCTGCCCCAGCCGCTGCTGCAGGTGCGATGATGTTTCTTATGGAATTCACCTTTTGGGATGTCATGCTGCTGGTCATGTTTGTGGAATTTTGGATGAGTTGTTTTTAGAGAAACTCCCCGATGAACCTGGCTGCCAGCCTTACTGTAGATATCAGTCGGTTTTTTTGACCGACTTAGCGCGGGTGGGGTGGAACTGGATGACCACGCACTGATTGATGTCCGTAACTTACCGGAAGCACCTCGCAAATGATGGGAGACTTTCCAAGAAAAAAAAGTGGCTATGGTTAAGCCGAGGTTCAGCCAAAGCCTTTGTCTAAATGAGTGGTAGAAATCCACTAGTGATTAGTGATCCATCATTTCTTCAGAGAGTTTTCTCCAATTTTTGAGATCGCAGCTCCGTTTTGCGGTGTAAAAAGTTGTGGGTTGTGGATCAAGGAGGTCCATCCACAGCAAATTGCTAGTTCAGAACTGATGTGAAAAAAAATCAAAGGTTCATTTTCATTGCGTTAAATTGCCAAGTTCATGGTGAATTCATGTTCAAAAAAACCCCATTTCTGAGGATTTTTGATGCGATTTTTTCCCCAGGCACTTCAACGGTGAAAGGCACTCCAACCAACGAGGAAGCGAAAGGTGCGAGTGGCCGAGCGGCGGATCAAACATGGTGGAAAATTGGGCTTTGACACTTTTTTAAGTCATTAAAACATATAATTCATCCTTCAACATCATCATTTCTAAAACATCTAAATCAAGTCATCATGTGACACATTAAAACTGATGAAATGATGATGCTCTTGATTTAGATTAAATCACAGGATCGTGTGAGAGTAACCATCGCCGACATATGGCAACGGATGACTCTGAAGTGAAACAACCCTGTGCTTGTGAACTAAGATAGCAATCTATCAAACGTGTTTGTTTGAAATCGGGGGATGCTCCCAAAATGGCAATTTGAATGGGAACATGATGATAATCCAAAGGATGTTTGGTAGAGTCAGTGTCACCTTGTGAAATCCTTTGGATATTAATGGATCTTGTAGCCAGATTGAGCACTGCTTCAGTCTTCGCAGCAATGTGTGAACAAAATAGGAAGCCCTAGACTTCAAACTGAGCATGCAATGGGCAGCGATAGTCTGAAACTTGACGTGGCATTGCCCAGTGGACGCTGCAAATCTGTGCAGTTGCTATCGAGTGACAGCATGACCTGTTTTTCTTGGCAGCGCAAGAAACTGGGCCAAATGGACGCCTGTTGGATGTGACAACATTGTCACATGGGGCAGTGCATTCCATGGTGGTGGCACTACAGTTGTCTGGGACGCAGATTGTTGCCACAGGCTCTTTGCTGCAAGTTTGGCAGATGGAAGCGTTGTAACGTGGGGCCGTTCACAGACAGGCGGTGACAGCTCTGCAGTCAATCATCAACTCAGAAACGTACGGGAAATTCATGCCACTGGCACCATTTTGGCAGATGGACGTGTTGTAGCGTGGGGCCACCCAGGCAAGGGCGGTAACAACACTGCAGTCAAAGATGAACTCAACAACGTTCAGTCAATTCATGCCACTGGCGGTAACTTTGCTGCCATTTTGGCAGATGGAAGCATTGTAGCATGGGGTGATCCAGACAGGGGTCGCTGACTTGCAGTGCTCCCAAGATTGGATATTTAGAACCCATTCCAAGACGATATTTAGAAGATGTACCAATTTTTAAGGTGGAGACCTGGATGGATTGTAGCCATGCCATTGTAGCCATAGATTTTTGGATATTTTTGGTGGGTTGCCCCCAAAGATGGGAATCTTTGGGAAGTCGAAAATCTGCTGTATATTTTTACTGGGGGTTACCCGGCCTGGTAAACGTTTACATAACTATGGAAAATCACCATGTTTAATGGGAAGACTCACTATTTCTATGGCCATTTTCAATATATAGCTATGTAAACGTTTACCAGAGGGTAACATATCATTTTCATGCTGCCAACAGAATACCAACATTATACCCAAAATGCCAAGATTCATCTATTGAATTCGATTGTTCATCCCAATGCTACCCAACATTCAGCAAGATTCACCGGCAATAATCATGCCCAACTCATCCCAACTCAAATGTTTTTTATTTTCGAAGTCATGAACATCCAACAACTATGATTTATTTCTATATTCTACTATATTTATCTGGGTAAATTATAACGACCTCACTGTTCTCCCTCACTGGAAATCATGGTTAGTATACGGGACATCATCCCCACATGGCCGCAAGATTCAGGTTAGTGAAATATGATGGCATTTACCCAGATCAATGGGATATTAGTATATATTAGTGGGATACTAATGGTAATTATTCTATTTGTTGGGATTTATACATCATTCTGATAATATGTTTATGTTTTGCGGCTTCTACTTAGTCTACTTCTACTGCTACTCCTCAGGTGAGGCGACCGTGCAGGGCCAAGCAGTCGGTGCTTCCGGTGCTTCCGAAGGACCCCTGATGAGTTTGGGAAACCAGCGGGTGACAGGGAGGTTTAGCAGCAAACGAATGGTGCTGAAAAAGCAGAACATGTTTGGGTTTGTCTGAAAATAGGGTATATTCCCAATTATAGCCATTTAATAGGGATAATGATCATTAACCATTGGGTTTAGGGGTACACTATTTTCAGACACACCCAAATCATCTTTAAAGACGATCAATGCTTGTGGTGCGCTTATCCCTCACTGTTAGAGCACATTTCGACGTTTTTCTTTGAAGGCGTCGGGCTGGTTGACCTAAGGAATGAAGCAAGGGAAAACATAGGAAGATTTGAGCGCAAGTATCCAACAACAACATGGATTCCAGAGCAAACTGCTGTTTGGTCAGGTTTGGTTAGTGAAGCTGGTTTTTTTCCCTCCAACTTGGCAAACTTGGCAATGAGTCATTCCTGCTTTGTAGATGCCTTGTTTGCCACTGGGGAATCACAGAGAAATCAGATTTGGGGAGGTGCCCTGCAGATGATCCCGACTGTAAAAGAAACTCACGACCATCGGAGCAGGCAATTTTTTTTGGATCTTTTTGGGGGAATCCCCAGAAAACGTTCGTGATTTTTTTCCGGGAACATGTTGGTAGGTCAGGCGTTCGCGTCAGAATCGATGCTGTTCATCTTTCATCATCTTTCTATAGGATAGATATGGGGAAATGGTTTGGGTAAATATAAAAAACATGGGGTAAATGGTGACTGGAACATGACTGGATTATGACTTTCCAGAAACAGTTGGGAATGGAATGGAAAATCATCCCAACTGACTTTAACTCACTCCATCATTTTTCAGAGGGGTAGGGTTCAACCACCAACCAGATAATTAATCATCATTCATTAACCATCATTAATCACCATTAACCACCATTTCATCCACAGAATCACCATTTTTTTGGTGTTTTTTTTCACATCAGCAGGTTGCGGTGGGGTTCTGATGCACCGTGATGCACCGTGATGCACCGTGATGCACCGTGATTCACCGTGGCGAGGCCAGTCCTTGCTTCATCCCGAAAAGGCCTACGAATCCGCCGTGGAAAGTTTTGAGGAGAGGCACTGTACCTTGGTGGCCCATGGAAATGGCCATGATATCGGGAACATAGATGACATAGAGCTTTGAAATGGGATTGACATGGGATTTTTTGGACGCCTAAATATTGAGACACAACCAAAAAATGAGGTTGATGGTCTGAAAAATAACCCAAACTATGTCTGATTTTTTCAAGTTTGTATGTTTAGGCATTTGCTATGATTTCATCAAATGCTTTACATGCAATACAGCACCAGAAAAATGGGGTATATAGTCTGATTTTTCTTCAAGCCACCAGTTTAGGCCCTCAAACATGTTCCAACTAGACAGGTGTCCAAATTCGTGTTCCTGAAGCTTCCCCCAGCCGCTGCATCTCAGTAGCTGAGAACCATATTAGTCCACCGCCCATATGTAGAATATGTCCTCCGATGGCCCAGTAAAAAACCAGGGTTTTTCGGTTTTCAACACAGTTGGTGCCGCTGGGGTCACCAACCAGGTCCCCACCTTCCCGAGGTGGCTATCGTTGCTGCCGCATGGTCAAGAGCTGCTTCGAGCAGATGCCAGAGCTGGAGGGCACCGGCGATGCACGGACTGTCTGCTTCCGACTGTTCCTTGGTCGATGATGGGCCGGAGCATTGGGCCGAGGTCGTGTGTGGGTCACTGGGGCCTCTTTTTTTTGGGATCAGATTTGGCAATGGGACTGAATGGGCCATATATGGCCATATGTTATTTTTGGTGGAGGAAGAAGTTGCAACACTTTTGGGAAATCATGCGTTGGCGATGATTGGATGGTGATCTTCAGTGGGAGACCGTCGGATTTTTTGGAACGAAAGTATCACCCGGGATGTGCATTTAGACGATGAGGGAATGTAGCCAGACGTCTTCAGGTTGCTTTGTGAGATTTCTGTGGATTGAGATATGATTGGGGGAAGGGACTGTGACTAGTTGGAAAGTGGTAAGGCGGGTCAATTAGCCCATGTCTGGGATTAGGCTACCCAAGAATTCATTGGTCGATCAGCCCCAAAATCCCGCTCGCCTTCTGGAAAAGCACGGTGATGGGCAACACCACTGGTTGTATCCACATATTGCTGTGCCAGCATGCAGTCATTTTTTTGATTGCTGCTGTACCGCAATAGAGAGTTTCTGCTTGCGTCAGATCTCCCCATAGATCAAATGTGCCGGGGACCGTCGTATATTTTTTTCATTTTTTTTCAAACATCCGTTTTTTTCTAAGTTCCAAAACCGCTCTCCAAGCTCTCAAAGCTATCCCCATTAACAGCTTCAAAAGTTGTCAAAACTCGAAACGAAACTCGTGGACTCGCCCTGGCGCCTCAGTGCTCTCAGGCTCGGCACCATGATGATCTTCGTTGGCGTGGACATGATGCTCAGCCCCACGCCTCCCGGCGATAGTTGGGGTCCAAGTTGGGATCTTAGAATAGACAGCTCCGGTTTACGGCCATTTTCACGGAACAGATGATGATGATGATGATGATGATGATGATGATGATGATGATGATGAACTACAACTATGGGAGGGCCCATGCTTTCAGAGAAAACCATTCTTGTGATGGCGTGTGATGGTGCCTGAGCAAAGCCAGCTTGATAAACAACTTTCCAGTTGCATCTCGAGGTACTTCCTGCTGCATTCCCTGCAACTTGGTCTTGGGCGAGTCCTGATGTCGTTTAACCGGCTCATCGAACTGAAGGGGTGCGCTTTCCATAGCTAGTTGATTGCTGTCAAAATCCCTGCAACTAATATCTGCATCCTTCAAGGTCATATATAAATTTTGGTCAACAAAAACAAACTTGGATGGCTAAGACTAAACATCCCAGAGCTTGCGTGTCCCCAATTTTGATGTTGTTGACTCCCCAGTTGGGAGGAGGATTTTCCTCGTTTTTGCTGAACGTCAGGATGATTTCCTTGTTTTTGACTGCTGAAGACCTGAGATCCCAAACTTCGCTAGTTCATTGTCGATTAGAACCCAGTTGATCAATGCTGAAATCCTCCTGAGGTGGTTTTTTGGCTTCATCATCGCTGGGCATTTGGCGTGCTTTGGCCGCAGCGGCGTCGCAGAAATCCGGGACTTGTCGGCGATTGGAGCAGCAACATCTGGAGAGATGTGGAGATTTTTGTGATTTCACATCAGTTTTTTTTGGGATTTCCATTAGTTTTGACCTGCAAAGGTCACGAAGAAAAATTGGGATTCCATGGAAAATCGGGTGGTTCTGACCTGAGAACCGCGGCAGCCTGAGGCTGTGCGTCTGCAAGTTTTCGTGTTTGTCGAGTTGCTGCACCATGTTGACCAGCTATCTGATCCACCGCCCTGCCTTGATGGCCCTACTGGTGGGATGGGATGGGGATCAATTCGTGGGTGAAATGATGGGAAGGTGGGGAAAAACATTGGGCAGCACCTCATGTCAGCCCAGGAGAACCACCCGTTTTGCACTACAAAATAGGGGGGGTTGCCATTTTTATAGCATATTGTATCATATTGTCATGTATTGTTTGTCACTTTTTGAGGTCTGGCCACCAGAGTTTATTCATTCTGGTTTGACATTGAGTAGGATATGATAGGCTTTTGATGGGATATGAAATGACATGACATGATTCGATATCTTTTTTTTTTAACGATGCAATATGATAGAATATGGTGTGCTATGATGTAGTATAGTATATGTTTCAATATATGACGTGATATGGTGTGTATATATATATGTATTGTATGTGTATACTATATATATATAAATAATATGTATATATACACATAAAATATACATATACACACATTATATACATATACACATTATATACATAATATATATATATATATATGCCAAGAGGCATCTCTGTGATCTACTATATAATGTAAATATTTACAAGATTGATAGATAGATTAATAGATTAATAGATAAATAATAAATACATAACTTCGTACATCTATGTAAAACAACTGGCCACAACTGTTTGCAGACCACCCATAACATCATTGTGTTGAGCAAACTGCTTTCCGTGGTAGGCCTTGACGTGTTTAAAGCTTACCAGCTAATCACATCGTCTTGATGTTCCAATCACTAGTGATTAGAACCACAGTTGCAACCTAATGATTCTTTAGCCCCAAGAGTCATCAGTCCTTCACTCCTCTCACTCCCTCTCATTCCCTTCCTTCCGTTTTTTTTCGGCAATGCAATTGCTGCTGTTTTCCTCGTCCTTTCATTTCACACAAGCCACCCTTTGCCCACCTTTCGCCACTTTCACTCTGCACAGGCCGCCTTTGTCCCATGCAAGCCCGTTGCTGTGTGGAAATCTGTCCCACTTTGGATCTGCTGCGCCATCATCTATTGCGCTTCATGATCTGTTTCGCTTCATGGTCTTTTTGACAGCAAGATTCTGCTTCTTCCTTTCTTGGCGGGCAGCCCAGCCTGCAGAAGTTCGGGCTCGCTTGTTGCTCATCTCAAAGAAGAGAAAGCTCGGATGATGAGAATCGCCGTCAAAGCGCCGAATCCCAACATCAAGGGGCTGAAAATCAATAGCGCCATGTCGTGCCAGTTTGACTCCACGAAAGGAAGACCAAGGGCACATAATCCAGCCAACGCAATCTGATGCAGCTGTTCCCAACAAGTCGATAGGCATCCTTTTTTGAAACTTCAGCCGGTCAAGCACTGCAATGGTAGCTGCGTGGTATGGCGAAATTTCTCGCTTGCGAGGACAAATCCCTTGATTCAGATCGCATCCGATCAAGTCTACGTTGTATTGGTTGGCGAGAGTCAAGAACTCGTCCAACACCTGAGTCGCGACATCTGGTGATTTAGCAACAACATTGTTCAAATGAGCACTTCCTAAGGTGACCTCGCGGACCCCCCAATCGTGAGGTGCCTTTAACCTCAAATGGACAAAAGTGGCAGTAAGAATCCAGCGCCCTTGAGCGTCGGTTCGAAGATGCTCGTGAATAACTTCGCCACCCTCGAGGAATTGGTCACCAATAAACACCCAAGCTGTAATGTCTTCGTTGTTGGGCCGAAGCACTCTACAGCCGTGCCGCAGCAGTTGCTGGTAGACCTCATCATTTGCTTCCTGGATTGCCCCGCAAACAAAAGATTTCGAGCAGAACAAGCCCACGTCTAGTCGCTGCCTGGCTGCGCCCGCGTTCCAAGACACCATAGACAACGTATGACGCAAAGCAGCAGACTCCCTGAGGCCAATTTGTATCCTTTGCTGGACAACACAATATCGCCAAGCCAACGAAGGGTGCTCTTCATTAGAACCAGCTGCCACGCTACCTTCGGGGACCCATTCCGTGTGAACACCAGCCAAGGCATAGTCTTCCTCCGGGTTTCGAATGCCACGATGAGTGAATTGGTGGTACGTATGATCAACAATCATCGCAGGGGTTGCATCTACAATTACTTGAACGCCGCCTTTTGAATGCCACAGTCTTTCACAATACTGAATAACCCATGAACTATAGAGCAAATTCACTGTTTCTCCCAAAGGCTTCTGCCGGCTCAGCAATGTCGGGACTGCATTGTGAAATTCTCGCTCAGCTGGCCACTGGGGCCAATCACTCAGCTGAGACCCTTCCAGGTGGAGTGTTGGATGAAGAGCGTCTAGGGCTAGCCAAATAGAGTTGTAAGCTGTCTGCAAATCTGCTCGGTTTTTGCGCCCTCTTGGAACAGCGGCTTTATCGTACACCCAACCGATCCCGAATTTGCGGCGAAAGTCAGATCCAAACTCTTCTGATGCCTCTTGCGCCCAATCCTGCCATGGCAAAGACTCCATGGCACAGAATGCCCACAAGGAAAAAATGGGGTTGCTTCGCCTTTTTTCGGTCACTTCTCTATATAATTTAATTTCCGTGCGCAGGCACCACCAAGGGCGGGCACAGGCACCTCTATATAACTGTTTTCAATCACTGCATCCTAGACCGGTGCAGTACTGTAATGAAGGTGGCAAGCATAATCTCACTGTTTGAACGAATTTTTGTTCAATCGCTTAAATGATTATCATTGGTAAACGCTGCGCTCAGGCACCACCAAGGGCGGGCTCAGGCGTCAAAACAAAACATGGCATCAAAAGGAGTCATGATGATGTTACTGATGATGGTCATGACGATTGGGCTAGATGATTATTCAAACACTTCGTTAGCTGCTTCCTTGTTACCCTCCGCGTTGAAGCTTGAGATGGAAAATCTGCCAATTTCAAGAACTTAGCATCCCATGTTTGAAACTATGAACGCTAAAGATTGAAACTGCAATACCTTTCGTGCCCCAATCGGTTGTTGACACGTATAACCAACACACAAAAATAAAACTCAGAGGAGGTTGCGGTAGTATTTACTTTGGGTGCGTACAGATGAGGTAACAGGCAGCCCCTATGCCTAACAATATATTTATTCAATATGTCCCTTTGATCTAAATACATGTGAAAAATGCAACTAACTAAAAAGATTAAAAAATAATAAATGATAATTAATAGAAATTAAAAAATCTATATAGATAAAAAAATATAAATAAAAGTAAATAAAAATAACAAATAAAGAAAAAGAAAATAAAACATAAAATATATGTTTGAAAAATATATTTAAAAAATATAAATAAACATAAACAAATCAAACATATAAAAAACAAAATAAAATAAAAAAAATAAAATGAAAAATATTTTTAAAAAATATAAATAAACATAAAAATCAAAAATATAAAAAAAATAAAATAAAATAAACAAAATAAAAAAAATAAATTAATAATAATAAACTTAAAATATATTGATATATAAAAAATAAAAACAAACAAACAATAAATTAAAACATGTATATATACAAAAAATATAAAAAATTAAAAAAAAATAATGATAAAAATACTTAAAAATTGAGATAAAAATCAAAAATATAAAAATAATGATAAAAAAAGCAAAAAAAAATGTAGGAAAAATACAAAATAAAGATTAAAAAAATGAATTTAAAAATTTAAAAATTCAAAAAAAAATTAATAAGTAATAATGACTTATTTATTATGTTGAGAAAATATAAATTTAAAAAAAGAGTAAAAAATAATAATAGTATATATATATAGAATAAATATAAATAATTAAAAAAATATATTTAAAAAAATAATAATAAAAATAACTAACAACTAATTATTAAAAAGCATAAATAAATTTAAATTAAAAAGAATAGCAATAATAAAAGTAAAAGAAATAAATAAATAAATATATATATAAATATATTTATAAATATATTTATATATATAAATAGTTTATATATATATGTTGAAATAAATATTGATATATATATATAAAATAAATAAATACATATATAAATAAATATATATATATATAATATATATATATTTAAATAACTGTTGAAAAATATATATTTAAATAAATAAATACCTAAAATATTAATAAGTCATAATGATTTTTTTATGTTGAGAAAATATAAATTTAAAAAAAGAGTAAAAATAATTATATATATATACACATAAAATAAATATAAAAAATAAAAAAAAAATATTTCAAAAAATAATAAATAATAATAGTAACTAATAACTAATCATTAAAAAGCACAAATAAATTTAATTTTAAAAGGATAGCAATAATAAAAGTAAAAAGAAATATATACATATATACAAATATATCAAAATATATAAATATATATATATAAATATATATATATATATATATAAATAATATATATATATATGTTTAAATAGATATTGAAATATATAAACAAACAAATATATATATAAATATATAAATATATTTAAGAATAAATAGAAATAAATTAAAAATAAAAAAAATGTTAGTAAAACCTAGTAAAAACCTTAATGAAGAGAAAATAAGTAACACATATTGAAGTTAAAATATCAATTTAAAAAATCAGAAAACACATAAAAAGTAATATTTCAAGTATGTGAAATCTTTGAAAAAATTGGAATATGTGCTATATTTGAAATATTTGAAATATTGGAGATATTTAAAAAGATTGCAATATTTGAAATATTTGGCATATTCAAAATATTTAAAATATTTGAAATATTTGAAATATTTGAAATATTTGAAATATTTGGAATATTTGAACTATTTGAAATATTTGAAATATTTGAAATATTTGGAATATTGGAGATATTTACAATATTTGAAATATATGAAATATTTAAGATATTTAGAATATTTGAAATATTTGAAATATTTAAGATATTTAGAATATTTGAATATTTGAAATATCTGACATATTTGGAATTTTTGAAATATTTGGAATATTGAAGATATTTAGAATTTTTGCAATATGGGAAATATTTGACATATTCAAAATATTGAAAATATTTCAAATATTTGAAATATTTGAAATACTTGAAATATTTGGAATATTTGAAATATTTGGAAAACTAAAATTTGAATTGTTAGAAATAAATATTTGAAATTTTCAAAAATTTCGAATATTTTATTTGAAATATTTGGAATATTTGGAATATTTGAAATATTTGAAATATTTGGAATATTGAAAGTTGAAATATTTGAAATATTTGCAATATTTGAAATATTTGGAATATTGGAGATATTTAGAATATTTGAAATATTGGAAATATTGGAAATATTTGAAATATTTGAAATATTTGAGATATTTAGAATATTTGAAATATTTGAAATATCTGAAATATTTGGAATATTTGAAATATTTTGAATATTCAAGGTATTTAGAATATTTGAAATATTTAGAAAAGTTTGCAAAACAAAAGTAAAAGGTAGATCATAGGGGTGCCTGTTGCCATATATATATACACATTATATTTACATAATACATATATATATATATTAATTTAAAAACAACAAAAAATATATACATAAGAAAGATTTACACACATAATACATATTTATTTACAAATTGTGTATATATATATAATCTGTATGCTGTAAATAAATAAATAAATATATATATATCATGTATATATATATACATACATAATAAATATACACATAATACATATAACATACATAATATATATAATATACATAATATATATGTATATAGAATATACATAATATATGTAATATACATAATATATAAAATATAAAATATATATACACAATATGTATATATATATACAACATATATATATACAATATCTATATATATATAAATATACTGTGTATATATTGTATATATATATACATAATATATATATATATATATATTATATTGTATATCTATACACATAGTATATATTTATATGTACATGATATATATATATATTATGTATATACACAATATATTTATATATACACATAGTTTTATATATATATATACATAATCTATATATATATTTATGTTCCTACACAATTTATATATATACACATAATATATATACAAATAATAAATAAATATATATACATATATATATACATATATATATATACATATATATATATATCTCTATACATACATTATTTATATATATTTATACATAATAAATATATTTACATAGTATATACACACATAATAAATAAATAAATATATATATATATATATACACATAATATTTATATATCTACATGATACATATAAATATATACATCATATATATATACTGTGTATATATATACTCTGTGTATATTATATAAATACAAATAATATATATATACACAATATATATATATTATTTATATATACTTAATATATTTATATATTCACATAATGTGTATATATATATATACGTAATCTTGATAAATATACAATATATATATATACATTTTATTTAAATACACATAATATATATATATACACATAATATTTATATATATACACATAATAATATATATATATATACATATATATATATATATACACATAATATATATACACATACATAATATGTATATATATATATACAAAATATATATATTTACAAAATATATATACACATAATATTTACGCACATAAATGTATATTTACACATAATATTTATATGTATACATTATATATATATATATGAATATACATAATGTATATATATATATACATAATATATATACACACATAATAGATTTGTATATATATATATATATGTATACACATTATATATATACATGCATAATATATATACATAATATATATATATACATAATATGTATATATATACATAATATGTATATATATATAATTTATATATATATATACATAATATATATACATAATATGTATATATATATATACATACATAATATATATACATACACATTATACATATATATATATACACATAATATATGTATATAAACACATAATATATGTATATATACACATAATATATGTATATACACATAATATATATATACATAATATATATATATACACATATTATATATATACGCACATAATATATATATATATATATGCACATAATATATATATATATATACACGCACAAAAAAATATATATATATGCACATGATATATATATATATATGCACATAATAAATAAATATATATATATATACAATATTACATGTACACTTAGCACTGCAATGTTATCATAGAATATCAATGTAATTCCTGGCCAGGGATTCAGCGTGCTGAGCGTCACCGGTTTGTCCCTCTATTACAACGTGACCTGGATGGACTTCAATGGTGGAGATCAACGAAAGTTAAGGGTGGTTAAAACCGTCGTTTATGATGGTTGAGGATGGTTAATAGTGGTTAATGATTTATAGTGACTTATGATGGTTTTGCCGGCACAAGGCATAATGTTTATTACAAATTTTCACAGACGTGTTTTTAGTAATCAAAATGCAGGAACTGACCAGACAAGAGGGATCATTCATCCCCAAAATGAAGGTTTAGAATGGTTTTGATATCGGGGTAAAAACAATCATTGGTTTTGTTCCTGGTTCTTGTTTTCGTTTGGGGGGTTCCTGAAAGGGGCGACCACAAGTTATCATCCAAGTTCTCCACTGGAAACGAGGAAACGCTCGGGGTATCAATGGATCAACGCTGAAAACGTGCTATCCATGTTGGGTTTGGACCCACTCCCATATTTAAGACCCAACACGTATCTAAAACTCAACACATATTGGTTTGTCCAGAAATGGGTTAAACCTGAATCTCTTGTTCAATCATGATATTCTTTAGTTTTTCAAATTTTGGCGGTATGCGCCATCTAAATCCACATACATGCATGCATTGGAAAGTGGTTCCAGATTTAAGTCTCGATTATATCAAGTGCCATTATTGGTTACTCTTTGAGCATGCCATTGGAGAAGCCCAATGATTTTAGTACGATTAATACACCTAATATTGTTTGGAGTGAATCAATCAAATGCTTGGGTATCCAATATTGACATAGACGGATCATAGACGACCTTCTGATATGCTCTGCAGCAAATTTACTAGGCATCCACCAAGCGTTTTCAGGATAACATGGCTATGGATCCCCCATGCGGACTGGGGCTGGGATCTATTCATCAGGAAACACACAAATGAACGGGGCAGGGGATGGTTAGATTATTCCCATGATATTCCCATGATCTTCCCATCATACCACCGTTCTTGATGGCTAAGTCTATTGTCTATGGTACTGTTTTTGCATAGTACCAAGGTGCCCGTTCATGGTGCTGCGCGATAATCCAGATCTTTGGTTTCTGGCTCGGATTTCCGGGCTTTCCGTGTGATCCAGAAGAACTAGTATCCCAAAAGACTACAAGCAATGGAGAGAAAGATGTGTTGAGGTACGAAATTCGGGGTGAAGAATGTCACCCACTTTTTTGGGCAAAAATTGGTGCCCACCAAGCACCATCTGCAGCCAGTTTTTCTTCTTTTAATGTCATGGCGGTCGGACAGAAGATCCGAGAAAATTGCTGGGTTTTGGCAGCAGCGAAAACGGAGACAACAACAAGATCAACAAGGAACATGCGGAAAAACCAGCAAACATGGAGATGCAAAGAGATACACGCAACCAAAATTAGGATTTGAAAACAGCAATTGTCTTCTTTCCCCCTTGCTATCATCAAAAGTGGAAATGGATAGGGAGGTCTTACCGAGAATTTGTGAGACGAACCAGGAGTGTAGATGAGCAGAATCCCTAAGAGCCTCATCACAAATGATGAGTAGTGGGACACCTTTCCAAGCACTGCCTTACTGAAGAGTTCTTTTTGACCAATGATTCAGATATGGGTGTGTCTGAAAACAGTGTACCCCTAAACCCAATGGTTAATGATCATTATCCCTATAACAAATGGCTATTTCATTGGGAATATTAACCCAACATTTTCAGACAAAGCCATATTTGCAGTGCTCTGGAAACTCAGGTGATGCCATGAGACCTTTCCAAAGCTTCCAGTTTCTTTTTTGAATTTTTGATGCTCCGAGTCAGAATCAGCTGGACTTCAAATATCATTCCAGGAAGTAGCTCTATTTGAGAGGAATCTTACCAGGGCAAGCCCTGGTGGATGGTTGGTTCATCAATTTTTTGGCCATTTTTTTTGGGTAATCTTAGTGGCCCTGGTTGGCGCATAGTTTTTTTCGCACAGTGTCAGTCCAAACTGTTTTTTTGACCAACAAAAACTGAAGAAATGCCCCATCCACAGTTCCACAGTCATTTCCCAGCGAGAAAAACTCTTCAATTTTGATTAGGGGAATTTTCCAGCTAGCCAGGTTTGATGATCAGGATAGTTCCACAAAGACCATTGATCACCATGAATCACCATGAATCATTATATGATAATAGTGGTTAATAGTGGTTAATAGTGGTTATATATATATATATACATACATACATACATACATACATACATACATACATACAGTACACTACTACTCATTGAGGGCCGGCCGAAAGTCAGCTCTCCCAGCAACCCGGCACCGCCCAGCTTCAAGCCACAGCTTCAGCCCGCAGAAGATGCGCTGCGACCGGAACACGTGTAAAAAATCCAGCTGAGGGCGCGCTGAAACGCTATGAACGCTGGGAACCCTTGGAGAAGCCTCATTCATCGAAAAACATGGAATCTCCGAGAAAGGCCGATGGTTAAGCTAGAGGTGCGGAGATTGACAACTGCTGTATATCTACAGATACTTTAGATGGCTAGACTTGACAAATCAAACACTACGACACACTTTAGAGATTCCTTGATCAATGTCCGTTTCATTTATTTTGGGGTTTACCACAGGACCAACAAAGGCTGGGTTTTGGCTGGGGTGCCCTCTGGCTGAGTTTGAGAAACCAAAGAAACACAGCTGCTATTGCTATTCTTGTTGAGTGTACCATCTTATTATACCAACCTTCTTGGAATGTGTGTTGTTTCCTCCTCATTCCCGAGGTCCTTGTTCCAGTCCTCGTTCCAGTCCTTGTTTCTTCTTCCGGTCCTGTCCTTGCTGTCCTTGTTCCAGTGCTCGTTCCGGCCATGGTTCCGGTCCTGGTTCCGGCCCTTGTTCCGGTCCTTCTTCTGGTCCTTCTTCTGGTCCTTGTTCGGGTCCTTCTTCCAGTCATTTCTTACGGTCCTTGTTGGCGTCCCTGCACTCGTGCTTTGTAGTAGCCGGCGCTCAATCATGGTTTTGCTGTTAGGAGCTTCGGGCTTTGTTCTCAAAGCTGGATCCTCATGGCACAGGATTGCTCTCAGAGGTGGGACAGGGTGATTCTATCACTGTGGTTGGGTGAGAGTTTTTGCAAGGTTATATACAATACAACTTATATTATTTGTATTTAATTATAGAGCCAATGAAGCGTTGGTTTCGCCATGCATCCAGCTGGGTAGTTTCAAAATGTTTCAACGACTTCTTGCCTATTTATGAAGCCTTCCAGGGAGCCAGCCATGATATAAATCGACTGATCATTTCTCTTGCGCCGCAGATTCTCTCAGAAGCATCATCCCAGGCACTGCCACATTCTATAAATAGCTATGGAGGGTGTCACCATTTCCAAGTGGTAAATTCTATAAATTCTATAACTGGTGACTGGTCACTTGGTTATCAACTCCATATTTTACCACATGATGTAACAAATGTTCATCGCAAGACTGTACAACTCCATATATTTTGACATAGTTATCTATAGTCTATAGTTATCTTGGAATCTTTGAGCTGATGCAAGTTGATGACTATTCTAGCCCCTCGTCGCCCAAATTCACACAATCAATTAACGTACTGTACATCATGCCAACATCGTACTCCACATACCTGTGTGCCAACATCCGCTCCACATCATGGCATACCACAAGGATGCGCGAACACCACATCAGCCTTGGACTATGGGTACTGTAAGATTTTGGTAGGACTATGGCCAACCAACCATGATCTGTAGCCAAGCAACCACGACCTACATCCGAATGACCATATTTTTTTGGATTTTTTTGGGCAAGTACCCATCATCAATGGTTTATGCCAACATGAAATGACACCATTATATATATATATCAAATTCTATAAATAGATCACCACTTTAGAATCGGATTTGACAAAACAGCATCTATCGACTTTTGGGGCTTCGCCAGGTGCAAGTGGAGCTTGCCTTGCAATCCCTGGGAGTTCACTTTCCCCACGAGGCGTCCGAGTGGAGCCGATTTGGCGATCACCTGTGGACACTCAGAGGGTTGGGGGGTTTCCAGATGTTGAAATACCAGTTGAATGAAAGGTTGAATTGCTGCGCCATTGCTGCGCCAGGCATCCCCAGGTGTGGCGTTCCACATCTTCGATTTCGACTTGTTGGGATGCCCAAGACATAGCTGGGAATTATATAAGGGTTACCCACAAGGCCCGTACTGCAAACAATCGCCATTTTTCAACGAATATCAGATATGGGGATGGGTCAAAACCCTGGTACCTAGTGAACCCCAAGTCATAGCTGGGATTTATGGATGTGAATAACCCACTAAAAATGGTATCTATAGGTATTGACCCATCCCCATATATCAAACCACTCCAAAGGATCCAATCCGCCCGTTGCGTAAGTTGAGAATTGGATCCTTTGGATCTGGGAAAAGCCAGGGCGCCTGGCCGCAGGCTGGTCTCCCAGAATTGGTCAATTGGGCGCCTGATTTTTCCAGGATATCTCATTACTCATTGAATTAATTATGAACTGCCTCATGGTTGGAAGTCCTTTTTAAAAGGTGTTGGTTGGGGCTGAGTACATCCCGAAAAAAAGAATGAGAGCTTGATAAATCTTTGGGTTGGTCTGAAAACAGGGTACACCCCCCCCAAAAAAAACTATAGTTTAAAACATGATTTTCATTCAATTTCTCAAAGAAAGTTGCCATAACTGGGGGGTAATTCCTCCATTTTTGGCTCCCCATGAGGGGTGGATTCTTTCCATTTCGGGATCTATCTCCGTAGACCCTGCTGTGTCGTATGTTGCGACCTCACGTGGACCTCAGATGCAAAAATGATGGTTAAATGAAGGAAACCATATGGGGGTTTCCATAAACGTATCCCCAAGCTCGCTGAATGGTTGATTTCCATGGGAAAATCTCAAGAAAAAATGGGATGATTTGGATGTACAGTAGCCCTATTCTAGGAAACCCCCATATCTCAAAATGATGGTTTTCCAAGAATTTCGCCAGATGACTTCAGGAGCGGAAGCATCGATTTCCTGGAGTTTTTGCACATGATGGTAATGGTGTGGCGCCACATCTAGGTTGCTTTTTTGGTGGTTGCTTTTTTGGTGGTCTTGGCGTGGTGTGCCTCGTTTGCTCTTAGATACATCGAAAAAAACTAATATCTTGCTACAAGCGAATGTGTGGAATTAAACTCTTGTCAATTCCAACATCATAGATATGGTTTTATGGAATAAATCATAGATAAAAAACTATCATAGCCAAAACTATTTTGGGCCATCGGACTTTGATGTTTTAGCTATTTCTCACATGCTGACGCGAAAAGGATGAGCATGTCCCCTGGGATTTTGAACATCTGAAAAGCTGTTGGAGATGAAATGATATTCCTATATAGTTGGGTTACGTGAGCAATTAGGCCATTTACATCCATGAAAACCAACCCCTAAAGACACCATCCACCTTTTAAAAGGGCTTCGCCCATGAAATTTTCATGAGGGATCAGACGGAAAACCACCAGGTTGTAGGGTCAAACGACCGGTTTTCGTTGCTGGTTTCAAAGATTCTTCATGTGAAGCGCGGGTATATATTGCCTGATTTCGGTACATTCTGGCTCTTGGATTCTGAACTCCGAGAAGACCGGCTCTTTTTGCTTTTTGGATGCAGGTTTGGTTATTCGATTCATTATAAATCGTTATAGAACTCAAGAAAAAACACCAATGTCTTCCTGGTTCCCAAGTCATGGAGGTACCCCCAGTCCAGTTGTCTCTTTGGGTCCGCAACCTTTGAGGCCAGACGTCAGGAAGGTCCCTTCAAGCCCTTAGAGACTCCAGGTGTACCTGGGCATCGAATATCGAAGATAGCGTTGGAATGTTGGAGACCTAAGACTATGACTGTAGATATGGGAAGCAACTGAAACAACCATCCAACAATTGGGATTTCATGGAAATTCATGGCATTTCATGGCATTTCATGGTGATTTAATGGGATTTACCCAAGTGATCGGGGTACCCAAATCATCCAAGTCATTGGACCCTTCAATGAGTATTGAAACCTATGGTGACTTGGGGATCCACCTTTTTAAGAAACCCCTAGTGATCTCCCTGCCCCGAATGGGCGAATGGGCCTCCGGTGGAACATGCCAACAACATCAAAAAATGCGTGGTGAACTGGCTGACTTCAGCTGGAGATCTCACCGTTCTTTCAGCGATGTGGCACGAAGTGATGGATCCAAGAGCCACGGTGCTTGATGGCACAGATCTTGGGTGATCTGTGTCTCTGCGAAGGCACTCAAACTAACCACATACTGGTGCCTGGTAGTGCAATGCTGGCTGACCCCCTGACAAAACG